GAATTGAAGACCGGAAGGGTCACTTCGGTCTTAATTATAATCCCATAAAATAAATCTGTAGTATTAACTCAGTTTATGTGAAACAACGCTGTGTAGAATTCTTCTCCCTTTTAGGCACCCGTTTTATAAACTTCACCCTTCGGAATGTCCAGTGAGTTGGATCTGAATTCCAACTTTAATCCGCATCTGGAGAGAGTATTCTTCCTATTCTGTCCTCTTTTCATTCTTTATAGTTCTGTTTTCCTGTGGACGAAGTAGCCGAGCTACCGGGTCCCTCGTAAGTTCCGCCTTCTATCTTTTATCAGTTTGATTAGCGTCTGCTGTCCCGGAAAATTGCGGTTTCAGCTGGCTTTGGATGGCGAACGTGAAGATAGGGGATGTCGGGTATGTACATTCTCTTGAACCAGACATTGTTTTCGCAGGTCCTGGAGATGGGCGGAATCCGACGGTTATTCGTGAACCTCAATAAGTGCTTTATCCTTGACGTCACATTCCGGATTCCACTTACTCCAATGAACTTGGCTATTCGGATTGTCCCACTCTTTGTGTCACCCCAGCGATGGGGCGATCCAGTTTTGCGGTACGCTTGAGATCATCGCTTAAACTTGACTCCCCTACGTTCAGGTGTGCAAATCACACGGAGGCCAGTGATCCAGAGACAGATGTTATCAAGCGTCGCAGCTTCATAACTGTGTCTTCCCCTGATACAGTGTACGCCTTCGCTGGTCCGAAGTTGCGGGGCGACCATCTCAATCTCTGCATACCGATAAATAAGCTACGATCTGCTGCTAGCGGGATCAAGGTGGAGGACAGTGTGTCAAGTTCACAGGAGCAGTTGCCTCTGGTGACTGAAAACATTGCCTGTCGGCTCCACTGTTTTAGCAGCTGTTTTGGGCCGGAGGACAAAGGACGAATTGAACTTGTCGTCAGACTGGAGGACCTCACAGGGTATGTGACCAATGTCCAGTAAATTTGGGGTCTTTATCTAGATGTGGTACTGACCTGTTGGATAGCAGTAGTCAGTATTCGCTCAATTTGTGGAACTAAGGATAGTAAGGACGGGCGCGGGCTGTCTAGATCTTCTTCCTCTTCTCACGTCCGCTATTCCCACAGTTTCTCGTCTTGAGACCTTGATAACCATTCATGAGCATCACCCATGCCGTGAAATCGTTTGTAGTCTTGACTTCGAGTAACGGTATGCTACGTGCATTTGACTATAGGCATTTCTATAGGCCAAACACGGAATGGTTGGCTGTAATTTATGATAATGACACTTCTTTTCTTTTGTAATGACTGTTTCTGGGCTATGGGCAGGGATGTCCGCATTAACTTGATCACGGATGATTCAACTCAGAACTTGCAGTCAATCAAAAGTGTGTTTGTGCAGACTGGTAATCTGAGAGGTAGGCCGCACTGACGCCTTTTTACTGTGACCTCTATGGCATTTCCACTGTGTGGGATCTGAGCCAGTGTGATCAAGGACGTA